TTTTTAAAAGCAGTGAGAGTTGCTTTTAAACCCTGCTGAAAAACCCCACGGCAATTCTAGAAATGGTTTTGGGATTATTTTTCAAAAAAAAACAAGTTGCATACCCAAAACCACTGATTTAGAGCCATCAGTCTACACTGAAATTAGAAGTATTCACGAGTGAGCATTAAGTTGTAGAAGGCAACTGAGCTAATGCACATAGAAGTGGGGAGAAGCAAACATGTATTGTCAGAACCTCTCAAGGAGGGAGACGAAAAGATGCAGGGTGAACATAAAGAGGGGGTAAATGAAGGGAACCCAAATTAGCCCTAACATCAACTGTGCATGAAAGGATCACAAAGATCATAGAGACAGGCTTAATAACAAAGGCAATGGGCATTGCACTGATCTTGCAAAAACAAGATATTGCCTCTGCATACAGGCTCTTGACCAGGGAAGATCAAAAAGCTCTGATATACAAATGTAATCCAAAATCATATTATTATAATCATGGGGAAGACCATGATCATAAATGGGATCAACTGTAGAAAGAGTAGTGGGGGAGGCTGAAGAATATAGTTGGTCACCATAGTCTAATTTAGATGAGATAAGAGCTACATGAAATGAAAGGATTTGTCAATCAGCTTACCAAGAAAAATAGGCTAGAGTACTGGAACAGTACCCATCACATAAAGGAAGACATTAATCCAGCTTTAAGGGACTCTGCTTGACCACTGGTCATACACAACATGCATGCACACACAATCAATCCTCATGAAGATACCTTCAGGCATTACAAAAGTACCATAGACAACATTACTGCCAATTAAAAATAAATACTGACAAAAGAAAGGTGATGAGAATAATTAGAAATACAAACAAAGACAGACAAGAGGTCAGAATGGAAGGAAAGAAAAGTGTGTGTAGGTAGTGGAGGTACTTCAAAAAAGATGCCTCAGTGGGAGAAGACTGTAGTGTTAAAAAACAAACCCCATAAAATATCCCCTTGTGGTCATGGGTCCAAGTCAGACTGGAGAACTTGACCTTCTCAAGAACCTCTGGGAAGTCCTCTCCTGATGATACCTGCAAAACAAGACAGGCATTCTCAGTTTCTGAAAATTCTGAATTCCAATCAGAGATACTCTTTAAAACAAGTAGCATTCTCCTCAAAACCCATCTGTACAATTATTCATCAATAAAGTTTATATAAATACGGCAAGAGTTCAAAGTATGTAGGTTTTTCCTTTAGTTTCAGAGTAAACAATACTTTCTAGCTTGCCTAATTCAAAAGCGATATGAGCCCTAGATATCATATAAAGTTTCTACAAGTTGACTGGAATAACAGCAGAAAATTATGTAAAAAAAAAAAAATCAACCATAAAATAAACCATAATAATATCCCTACCTTCTTAAATTGTACAGTTATCCAGTCAGAGCCACTGCTGCTTAGACCATAGGCATAAATTTCACCATCTTCACTAAAGGCAGAACCTGATATAGCTATAGTGCCATCTTCTGACAGCTTGTTTGGGTCAAGAAATACCTTAGCTTCTCCCTCTAGTGTGTCTTGAACATACATCACACTGAAATACAAAAAATATTAATTAATAAACCGAGGCAGCAGCATCCTGTATAGTCTGGCTGAATATATATCTTTGGTTAGGCTTCATTTAGATTATGTTGCACAGTTCTAGTCACCGTATTACAGAATGGATACAGTAAATGCACTGGAAAACATACAAAGGAGGATGAGAAAGTTGATCCCATGTATTTAGAAATCTTCCCTATAAGGACAGACTGAGGGCCCTGAATCTGAACTCTAGAAAGGCATAGAATTAGGGGGGATATGATTGATATTAGCAGTTTGGAGGGATATGTTGTGTATCTTTATATGTATATGCTTCCAAACTGTTGTGTTCTGAGCACCTCTGCAAAAACAGTGATTATGTGTGAGTGAGGTGAAAGTGTTGAATGATGATGAAAGTATTTTCTTTTTGGGTCACCCTGCCTCAGTGGGAGATGGCCGACTTGTTGAAAAAAAAAAAATGATTGAGGTGCATAAATGGAAAACAGGAATTAATAAAGGGGATGTAAATAGCATGCTAAAAATATCTAGCCGAGACAGGACTCACAGCAATGGCTTTAACCCTTAACCCATAAACGGTCCAAACGTATATACAGTGGACCCTCAACCAGTGATATTAATCCGTTCCTGAGAGCTCATCGTTAATCAAAATAATCGTTAGTCAAGTTAATTTTCCCCATAAGAAATAATGGAAATCAAATTAATCCGTGCAAGACACCCCAAAGTATTGAAAAAAAAATTTTTTACCACATGAAATATTAATTTTAATACACACAAACTGAAGAAGACATGCACAGTTACATGACACTTACCTTTATTGAAGATCTGGTGATGATTGATGGGATGGGAGGAGGGGAGACCGTTGATCTTGTTAGTGTTTAGAAGGGGAATCCCCTTCCATTAGCACTTGAGGTAGAAAGTCTTTTTCTGGGGTTACTTCCCTTGTTCTTTTAATGCCACTAGGACCAGCTTCAGAGTCACTGGACTTCTGTCGCACAACATATCTGTCCACAGAGGCCTGTACCTCTCGTTCCTTTATCCTAAAGTGTTTCACAACATTGTCAGTGTAATAGTCACCAGCACGGCTTGCAATAGCTGTGTGAGGGTGATTTTCATCAAAAAAAGGTTTGCACTTTAAGCCACATTGCACACATTTCCTTAATCTTTGAAGTAGGCAACTTCTTCAATTTCTCTCTCCCCTCCTCCGAAGCAGTTTCCTCAGGTCTGGCCTCTTGCTGTTGAAGATGATCTAGCAGCTCATCAGTGGTTAGTTCTTCATTGTCCTCCTCCACCAACTCTTCCACATCCTCCCACTAACCTCACCAATATGAGCACTAGTTCCAGGCATTTTTTCCTGTTCACCTGGGTGTTAGTCAACTGTTGTGGGTCGCATCCTGGGGGACAAGATTAAGGACCCCCAATGGAAATTAGTTAGACAGTCCTTGATGATGCACTGACTTTCTTGGGTTATCCTGGGTGGCTAACCCTCCGGGGTTAATCGTTTCTCGGTAATTGTTTCACGTTAAGCCACATCAACAACACTCTCTCCACATCTTCGAGTAATACAGCTGATGGTGGTGCAGCAACAACAACAGCTGACTGTGGTGCAGCAGCAGCTGCACCTTTGGCAAGAACAGCTTCCTTGATTGCCGTTTTCTTACCCACAATAGTAGCGATGGTTGATTGGGGTTTATTATACAACCTGACCAGCTCAGACACGCACACTCCACTTTCATACTTAGCAATGATCTCTTTCTTCATCTCCATAGTAATTCTCACCCTTTTTGCTGTAGGGTTGGCACTAGAAGCTTTCTTGGGGCCCATGGTGACTTATTTTGCAGGTGCAATCACTTCAAAGGCTGTGATAATATGAAATGTTCCAGTTGTTGTATGTTTGGAAGCGACCGCGGTGGCTGGCTGGCTTGTAAACACTGGCACCAAGGGACAAGTGAGGCGCGCTCAGGCCAAAGTGGACGCGTATGGTACGGACCGAATAGCGCTTGTCGGGTTTTTAAGCGCTAGTTGAGGCAAAATTTTTGCGTTAAAAAATCGCTAGTCAGATTTATCGTTAATCGATGCCATCGCTGGTTGAGGGTCCACTGTATACGTTTTTACCGCTAGTGCCCCAAACGTATATATACGTTTTGTGTGTCCTACATTTAACATTGCCACGATAAGCCTGAGTCACCTAGACATGTGAGAATGGGTGTGAGCACTCACTGTGCACCATATTAAAATAATTGGGGATGCCTGGGTACCATATGCTCTTTTTTCCTATTAAAAGTCAACAATGTTTTTTTTCTCAAAAAAGTTGGGGCAGTACGGTAGTGAACATATATATACGTTTGGACTGTTTACGGGTTAAACTGTCCAAATGTAGATATACGTTTGCCTGCGCAGCACTCCGAATATTTTGAAAAATAAAAAAATAGTTTTTTGTTTTTAAATTGAAGAGCGCATTTTTATAAATGGTATAGGATGAAAAAAAAATTTAGGGTCAGTACTTACCGAGATATAAGCCCGCGAAGTTGGTGCTAAATGATGAGGTGTCGGCAACATGGAGCACTGCCGCTTGCAGAAATAATAAACATTTATCATTTTTTTCCAATTCTTTTCTATTTTTTGTTGTTATCATGTTATGATAATAATATTTTGTTGTAGATTTTTTGATTTCATAGCCAATTCTTGTTGAGACAAATGTCTGGTACTGAATTAGTAATCATACTGTCACAAACACACATGTTCACACTGATAAATGAATTTCTACACCTGGTTCAATCACATACTATTGTTTACATATATATACAAGGTATTTACACATCCCATTTATGTTTCTAGAAGTCCACCACTGTATGGTACTCCAAGAAGCATGGATTCATACAGAATGCCACCCAATATTGCTGACACATGTATCGTGTGTCTTTTCGCACTCAGGGTCACTGTTTAGTGTAAGCACACACAACACACTTTTTCTGAGAGTACTTCTTCTTTGGAATAGATGGTAATGGCACCAGGCAGTGACAGTTAGGGATTATTTGGTCAGGCACTTCCCCCTCTTCTTGTGGAGTGACAGGTCGCTGTGGAGTGACAGGTATAGGTGTGGTACCATACTTTTCGCTATCTGCTTCATGACATTGAGGGTGTATTCTGCATATCGTTGTTGCTTCCCAGTCTTTATTTCATACATGTTGAAGGCATTGAGCATTGCAATGGCTACAAGGTGGAAAAAAACTTTTATATACCACTTACGACTCCTACGCACACAGTCAACAAACTCTATCATCATGTCACACTTGTCGACTAGTCACATATTGTTCATATAGTCGATGACAGCAGCTGGCTTTACAACAGGTTCAGTGTTGAACCTGCTCAGTCTATTTGTTTGTACCATCTTGTTTCTGTGGATGGTTGACAGCAATGTCACATCCCGTTTGTCATGCCACATCAGTGCCATGATGTTATTGGCATGAAACGCTTCTACCAGACTTCCTCCAGTGAACCTTGGCATGTGTTTTCTACTTCTCACTGTTCCACATACGTATATCAGTATTGTTCACACGTAGGAAATCTGAGCATAGGGCTTGTATACCAGTTGTCTGTGAACAATGTATGACCTTTGCCAAGGTATGGCCCCATCATCTTGTGAACAACATCCCCAGAAATGCCCAACATGTGCCTGGTATCGCCAAGTGTATTTTTCCCTGTGTAGATAATGACATCCAACACAAGACCAGTCTCACAGTCACACATAACAGAGTTTTATACCAAAGTGATTACGTTTGCTTGGTATATATTGTTTGAATGACAGTAGTCCCTTGAACAGAACCAAGGACTCGTCAACAACAAAGTTCTTGAACGGATAAAAGTAGGCAATGAATTTTTGCTTCAGATACATAAACAATTCCCAGACTCTGTATAAGAGGTCATTTCTGTTTGGCGTATTCCTGTCTGAGAAGTGCAACATTCATAGCAACAGAGTGAATCTGTTGCCGGGAAGGAGGTCACAGAAGACTGGAGTACTGACGAAGTGGTCTGTGGACCAGTAGTGTGCTATATTGTTCTTATACCTGTGTGGCATAAGCATGACAGTGCCAAGGAATAAATGCATTTCAGCCAGTTGTATCTTTCCACCTGCGCAGCTGTGAAGACTCTGAAACATCTGTGTGGTCCATTGTATACTGGTAGCACATGTTGGTCTGGGTAACAATTAGGTTCATCATTCGTTCATCAAAGTATAGTTGAAAATAGTCTAACTCTGTAGACTCATTTGTGATGGGACAGTGTGGCATTATGCCACTTCTGCTGGCATCAAAACTGAAAGGATGTGGCACAAATGGTGTACTTTCTGTCCAGTTCCATTTGCGATCAGATGGTGTACGGTGGACCAGTGGCATGGGGCATGGGGGAGCAGGAGTGGAGGCAGCACATGGTTGAGAGGGTGCCAGGCAGTCCTTTGTCTGCCCACCCACTGCACCACGAGGTCCAGGCACCATGCCACCCCCCTCTTCCTCCATCCCAGCATATTCACCTTCATTATTACTATCACTATCAGTGGCTGGGGTTTCGGATCGTGACCTCATACGACCCATGCCACTGACTACATGTGGCACACTGCCTGAACGTAGGTTACAACGCCTAAAAGTACGTTTCACTGGGGAATATTGATAATCACTTTCACTCGACGAATCATCTATCGGCATAAAATCGATTTCATCATCGTCACTTATATCACTTTCACTATCGTCATCGCCAAAATGCATGGAAAATTATAATTTCCTCTTGTTGAGTTGCCTTTGGGAAGTAACACTAGCAACCCCAGAGGTGCTGGGCTGAGGGTATGTTGTGGCCACACTGGCCACCTCAGAAATGCTGGGCTGAGGGTCTGGTATGGCCACACTGTCCACACTGGCCACCCCAGAGGTCATGGCCTGAGGGTCTATTGTGGCCACACTGGCCACCTCAGAAGTGCTGGGCTGAGGGTCTGGTATGGCCACACTGTCCACACTGGCCACCCCAGAGGTCATGGCCTGAGGGTCTATTGTGGCCACACTGGCCACCTCAGAAGTGCTGGGCTGAGAGTCTGGTATGGCCACACTGTCCACACTATACACACTGGCCACCCCAGAGGTCATGGCCTGAGGGTCTGGTATGGCCACACTGTCCACACTATACACACTGGCCACCCCAGAGGTCATGGCCTGAGGGTCATCTGGGTTATCAACAAAAGTTTCACTAATTCCTTGATCTTTAGTGGCTATATCGGAGTCAAAACCACTAAACTCGCATTCTGTATCACTTTCTGAGAATAGTAGAGTGTTAATATGACGAGGCGTCAGTGAATAACGGGGGTTTGCCATGATGTTGACCCAAGATGGAGCTGAAACTAACTGGTGTTACCACGTGGTACCCCAGCGTCCCCGATTTTTTCATAGTGCACACATTGAGTGTGCACATCCATTCTCTCATGTCTAGGCGACTCAGGCCTATCGCGCCAATTTTGAAGGAATGAAAAATAAAACACTGATCTACGTTCAGAGCCCACTGCACGTGGGCTCCAAACGTATATCAACATGTCGACAGTTTAAGGGTTAAGTTGGAAAAATTCAGATTCAGGAAGGATGTAGGAAAGCACTGGTTTGGTAATAGAGTTGTGGATGAGTGGAACAACTCCTGAGTACTGTCATAGAAGCTAAGACATTGTGTAGTTTTAAAAACAGGTTAGATAAATACACCTACCATCCGACTCACGACCTGCTCGACATACGACCACTCGACTTACAATCATGTTTTTTATGCCAAATTTCTGTGAAATAAACAACTGTTTTTGTTGTACACAGTGTTTATCCTAAACCATGGGGTATAAAATACAGTACTAACAGCATAAAAAGTAAAAAACATGAAGTACCAAAATAAAATAAAATAACTGCAAAAGTGTGATGTTGATACTCAGTAGTAAGGTTCGACTTGTGTCCATTTTGACCTACGACTGGTTGGTCGGAACCAAGCTTGGTTGTAAGTTGGATGGTACCTACATGAGTGGATGTGGGTGGGTGTGAGTTGGACCTAACTAGCTTGTGCTACTAGGTCAGATGCCGTGCTCCTTCCTTAAGTGAATGTGATCTAACCTGACTAGGTTAAGGAACTGGCTTAAGCCGGTGGGAGAATTGGACCTGCCTCACATGAGCCAGTAAGCCTGCTGCAGTGTTCCTTCTTTCTTATGTTCTTATGTAATCAAAGATTACACCATAGAATAGACATCAAAAAATGTCACTTCATGCAAAAATATAAATTATTATTCTTCCTTCTTTCAACAAACTGGCCGCATTCCACCGAAGCAGGGTGGCCCAAAATGTAAAAAACAAGTTTTTTTTTTTAACTTTAGTAATGTATACAGGAGAATGGGTTACTAGTCCTTTGCTCCCAGTATTTTAGTCGCCTCGGAGGAAAAATTCTGTTCCAGTTTCCCATGGAGAAAAATATAAATTATTTATAGTAAAAAAAGTGTTATAATATTAAGTACACACTGCCAGATGTATTTTTTTTTTTCAACAAATCAGCCATCTCCCACCTAGTCAGGGTGACCCAAAAAGAAAGAAAATCCCCAAAACAAAAATACTCTCATCATTCAACACTTTCACCTCACTCATACATAATCACTGTTTTTGCAGAGGTGCCCAGATACAACATTTTAGAAGCATATATAAAGATACAATACAAAAAGTGACCTGAAATAATATAATAAACTCCCTATAGAATATAATATCAGGGCCCAAATTATATATATACCATCCAATCACACATCCCTCCAAACTGCCAATATCCCAAACCCTTCCTTTAAAGTGCAGGAATTGTACTTCCCATTTCCAGAACTGGCTATGTAAAAATAAATGCTTTCCCTGAATCCATTCACTCAAAATTACCCTGCTCACACTCCAACAGCTCGTTAGGTCCCAAAAACCATTCGTCTCCATTCATTCCTATCTAACACGCTTGTGCACGCTTGCTGAAAGTCCAAGCCCCTCGCCCACAAAACCTCCTTTAGATGTATATGTTACTGAAATACTAACTTATACTCCTTAAATCCATTCATCAGTAAATGAACAAGGACAGTAAAGTCAACCAAACTGTCCTAAGAACAGAATGAAAATAATTCTGGTTATAGAGCTTCATAGAGATGAAAAATATAACAGGCTATCAAATGGAAATGGAATGTAGACAAAAAAGCAATGGAGAGTTAGCTCTTTTATAAGCAGGCAAGACAAAAAAAAGTCTCCTACCAACATCCTACTTCATCTCCTGCCAACACACAAAATATAATTCACAAATGCTGTACATAGAAATGTAAGTCATTGTCACAATTTTAAAATCTAACAAAGAAGGACTATTACTGCAGTAAAGGCTTACCTTTGGTTTTGCAAACCAGTATTCATGAAAAAGAAATATCTATTTCCTCTGCGGAATGGGCAAGAGTATTTCGGGTAGTCCCACAGTTCTGTTAGCTTTGATTTAATCCTCTCCCGGTCATGGCATTTCTCTAGGTATGGCAGTGTTATGGCATTTTGAGCATCCACAAATGCCTTGGTTTCCTCAGAGTCTGGATCTTCTAGCCATCGGTATGGATCTGGTATCTAATGTTAAAAAGACAAAGAACTTGATAGGATATAAAACCAAGATATACCTCTAATAATTTATTCTTTACTGATCCTTTTCGAGTTTGTACATATCATGCTGTTTACTTTAAAAACTTATATTTAGAGCCGGCAAATCTATTGATGTAATGTAGCATTAACACCCATTATCTACAATTACATTATTATTCTATTCACATTTTCAACTTAAGTACACCTACCATCCGACTTACGACCGTGTTTTTTATGCCAAATTTTTGGGAAATAAACAACTATTTGTGTTGTACACAGTGTTTATCCTAAACCTTACAGTATAAAATACAGTACTAACAACATAAAAAGTAAAGTAAAACTTGAAATACCAAAATAAAACAATAAAATAAAGTCATTACAAAAATGTTTTGTTGATATTCAGTAGTAAAGTTCAACTTACGACCATTTCGACTTACGACCGGTTTCTTGGAACCGAACTCGGTCGTAAGTCGGATGGTAGGTGTATTTCATTCTTAACCCTTTGACTGTTTCAGTCATATGTACACAGTAGACCCTCGGTTAACACCTCCATCAGACAGTGACAAAATCGGACAACACCTCTCTTTGGCGCAAAAAAAATTGGCTCGGATAACACCTAAAAACTCGGTTAGCACCATTCAACCCGAATATGTCGGCATGGCTCCCTGATGGGGCCCGGCCACTCAGCCCGTGTACCCGCCAGTGTGCTGTTGTTTTCAAGCCACTGAGGACGGTTCCACATGTACCTGCAATACATTTTGTATTATTCCAGTGTTCTTAGTGCTTGTAACGGTTAAATAAGCCACCATGGGCCCCAAGAAAGCTTCTAGTGCCAACCCTGATTTAAAAAAAGGAGATAATAGAAAAGTACAAGAGTGGAGTGCGTATCTCGGAGTTGGAAAAGTTATACAATAAACCCCATTCAACCATCAGTACTATCTTGTGCAACAAAAAGACAATCAAGGAAGCTGTTGTTGCAAAAGGTGCAAGTGTGCCTACAAAACAGAGATCGCAAATACTCGAAGATGTGGAGAGACTGTTGTTGGTGTGGATAAACGAGAAACAATTATCAGGAGATAGTATTTCTCAGGCAATAATATGTGAAAAGGCAAGGCAGTTGCATGACAATTTAATTCAAATTCAAATTCAAAGTTTATTCTCTATAAAGATTACAATGTTGAATTTACAGAATTTGGTTGCTGTGTGGTTTACATGTAGTTAAATAATAATTACAGAGTGTACCACTAGAACGCCTAGCATGGCTAGGCATTTCGGGCAGACTTAGTTTAATTCTTTATTTTAAAATATTACAAATTATGAGGTAAGTTGGTATTATGGCTAAGTGACTAAATACTAGTTTGTGAGTTTAGCAATGTGAATGCTTTTGTTTTGGCTTCTGCTGATGAGTTTAAGGCCAGCAAAGGCTGATTTGAGAGATGTAAGAATCATAGTGGCATACACAGTGTGATAAGGCATGGCGAGTGTGGCGGCCTCCTGCCAAACTAGCGGTTAAATTGTTAACCTGCCAGCTGGCAGTACCAAGGGTATGTCACCAAGCCCAATGTGGGGACTGCTGAGCCGGCCTTAGAAGCAGTATTTACCAGAACACCTTACGGTATACATCTACTGGCAGTAGAGAATATTCTCCTGACCATCTTATGGTATATATCTACTGGCTTCTACTGGCTTTAGAAGAAGCGCTCACCGCAGCTCACTGAGTCTGATGGCCTCAGTTACTTGACGGCCGCATTCAGTGAACTCGCAACATAGTGTGTTCTGCAAGCAGTATTCACCAGACCACCTTACGGTGTATATCAGCTGGTCTTAGAGGCAGTAGACAGTACTCACCAGACCACCTTACGGTGTACATCTACTGGCCTTAGAGAGTATTTACAAGACTACCTCAAGGAGTACAATTGTAGGTGATGTCTACGGACTCACCACCGACTCTAGTCAACTGCGGGCCAAGTCATGCTGACGCTGTTGTATAGTGTCATGTGACAGCTGACCTCTGAAGAAAAAAAAACGCTAAGCAGGTAGTGTGTTATAACAGAGATAAGTGTCGTGTGACACAGTAGAGCAAGTGTGTGTGACGCAGAGATAAGGGTGTTGTGTGACACAGTAGAGTAGGTGTGTGTGATGCAGAGACAAGGGTGTCGTGTGACACAGTAGAGAAAGTGTCGTGTGACAGAGCTAAGGGTGTCGTGTGACACAGAGAGGAGCGTCACAACACGGACAAGGGTGTCGTGTGACACGGAGAGAAGGAGCGTCATGACACAGACAAGGGTGTCGTGTGACACAGTAGAGTGTTATAATACTGAAACTCCATGTAAATAGTGTAGAATGACTGAGTGTGACACGGTAGTGTCAGGAACATTGTACCCTGTGTGGTAGGGTGAACTGTCGTGTAACCCAGCTTGTGTTGAAATGTCAGATGCCATGAAGAAACGGAAATACAGAGACTGAGTGTTATGACAAAGGGATAAGGATGTCGTGTGACACGGTAGAGAAGGCATGTATGACGCAGAGATAAGGGTATCGCGTGATACGGTAGAGCAGGAGTGTCGTGTGACACAGAGAAAAGGGTGTCAGGTGACACAGTAGAGAAGGAGCGTCATTACACAGAGACAAGGATGTCTTGTGACACGGAGTTGTAGGTGTCATGATACTAGGATAGGTAGTGTCGTGAGACACGAAGAATGCAGCGGCATTGACACCTGATGCACTATAGGGTCATGATGAGTTGGTTAAAATTTATTATTGTATGATTCATATATAGATGTACAAAGATGTTACTTATAATTTATTATTTTAACATGTATATATATGTACCTTGACACAGTAGTGTCAGGAAAGTTGTACCTTGTGTGAATTAATTATTTATTATTTTAGGATGTTAATTATAATTTATTATTGCAGCTTGTATATATATGTATCAAAGATAATAGGTTTTAATCAGATATTAATATATTAAAGATTATTTTATAATACCCCTAGACCAAAGATTGTTATTTTTATATGCAATTAAAATGATAAATATTTTGTGTGTACATGTATATATCTATACCGAACTCTTTATTACAAAATGAGTAAACTACCATCTAAAAAATTACTTTGTAATAGCGAGGCTGCCAGTTCTGACAAAAAAGCAGCTGAAAAATATGTGAAGGGCTTTAAGGAGTACATAGACACTGAAAAATTAAAACCCCAACAAGTGTTTAATTGTGATGAAACAGGCCTGTTTTGGAAGAAAATGCCAAACAGGACTTGCATTACTCAGGAGGAAAAGGCACTCCCAGGACACAAGCCTATGAAAGACAGGCTTACTCTAATGTTGTGTAGTAAAGCAAGTGGAGATTGCAAAGTGAAGCCTTTACTCGTGTATCACTCAAACTCCTAGTGTGTTCAAGAAAAACAATATCGTCAAGACTAAATTGTGTGTGATGTGGAGAGCAAACAGTGCAACCCACTACTGTAAATACAAAATCTCAATGTACTGTTTGCAAAGACATAAAATAAATAAATAAATAAACAGTAAGGCATGGGTCACTAGAGATGTGTTTATTGACTGGCTCTATGATGTGTTTGGCCCCACTGTGAAACAGTACCTATTGGAAAATAAATTGGACCTCAAGTGCCTCCTGATAATGGACAATGCTCCTGCTCATCCTCACGACTTGCAAGAGCAAATTGTGGGGGAGTTGAGGTTCATCAAAGTGAAGTTCTTGCCTCCTAATACCACTCCTCTCCTCCAGCCCATGGACCAGCAGGTCATTTCAAATTTCAAAAAAACTGTACACCAAAGCAGTGTTTCAAAAGTGCTTTGAAGTGACCTCAGACACTGAACTGACTGACCCTAAGAGAGTTCTGGAAAGGTCACTTCAGTATCCTCAGTTGAATAAACCTTATAGGTAAGGCTTGGGAGGGAGTGACTTGCAGGACTTTGAGCTCTGCTTGGAGAAAATTGTGGCCAGAATGTGTACAAGAGAGGGATTTTGAAGGGTTTGGAGCTGACCCTAAGGAGCCTATGCCAGTTGTGGAATATATTGTGGCATTGGGGAAGTCCATGGGGTTGGAGGTTTGTGGCGAGGGTGTGGAAGCGTTGGTGGAGGCCAGCAACAGACCAAAGCTCAGGGATTTCCTTCAGAGGAGGCAGAGGAGGAGGAAGAGAGATGGAGGAAGTTGCCTTCGTCAAAGATTAAGGAAATGTGTACAATGTTTACAAAGGTACAAGCATTTATGGATGAATATTATCCTGACACAGATGTTGCAAGCCATATTGGTAACTTGTACAATGACACTCTTGTGGCCCATTTTAGGGAAATCTTAAAGGGACGCGACAAACAGAGCTCTCCGGACAGATATTTTGCGCGACAGGGGTCCAATGACTCTCAAGCTGGTCCTAGTGGCATTAACAAACCAAGAAGGGAAGTAACCCCAGAAAAGGACTTGTTACCTGACATCTTTATGGAAGGGGATTCCCCTTCCAAACAATAAAACACCTGCATCCTCTGCCCTACTACCATCTCATCCCTCATCAACAATTCCACATTAAAGGTAAGTGTCATTTCAGTAATGTTTATTCTGCATGTATCATTGTTTTATGTGTAGGGAAATGTATATTTCATGTAAAAAAATTATTTTGTTTTAATACTTTTGGGTGTCTGGAACGGATTAATTGAATTTCCATCATTTCTTATTGGGAAAATTAATTCGGATAACGACAGCTCTCTGGAACAGATTAATGTCATTAACTGAGGGTCCACTGTATGTCTTATGAGCCAGTGTTTTTGAAGAATTTATACTCCAAAATTCTAGCGACTTCAAATCAAACGGGAGAAAGCTGGTAGGCCCACATGTGAGAGAATGGGTGTGTGGTGTGGTCAGTGTGCACAGTATAAAATAAAAAATCTTGCAGCATGCAGTGCATGAGAAAAAACCGCAGACCGTATTTTTGGATTACAACGCCGAATTTGAGGTGTATTGTCGTATGGTATTTATGGTTGTATTCTCGTTTTTCTTGGTCTCATTTGATAGAATGGAAGGCATATTAGGGAAATAGAGATGATTTTGATTGGTTTTATGATGAAAAGGATCTTGAAACAGAGCTCAAATTAGCGAAAATGTTCGATTTTTGCCGATGTTCAGGAGTAAACGAATGACGTCACCGTCCAATAAGTGTTCAACTAGCCATTATAATACGAAGTCACAAATGGGTTGACATAATTTATACAATTATAATAATGCAGTAGTATGCATAACAATAAATCTTCTATTTTTTATGTGAATAAAAATTCAAAATAGAAAGGAAGAGTAATATAAGAGGGGCCTGGAGACATGACTAATGAACAGAGAAAATGTTAGTTTAGTGCCAGGAATGTTTGCACTGTTTATTCTGGACCCTATTTTGAAACTGGCATTTTTATTGGGTAGTAGAAATTGTGGAGAGGGAGCATGGACACGGGGGTCGTCCCACAGTTACTAAAAACAACAGACATAGCCCCACTCCACAAAGGGGGCAGTAAAGCAACAGCAAAGAACTACAGACCAATAGCACTAACATCCCATATCATAAAAATCTTTGAAAGGGTCCTAAGAAGCAAGATCACCACCCATCTAGAAACCCATCAGTTACACAACCCAGGGCAACATGGGTTTAGAACAGGTCGCTCCTGTCTGTCTCAACTATTGGATCACTAAAACAAGGTCCTAAATGCACTAGAAGGCAAAAAGAATGCAGATGTAATATATACAGACTTTGCAAAAGCCTTCGACAAGTGTGACCATGGCGTAATAGCGCACAAAATGCGTGCTAAAGGAATAACAGGAAAAGTCGGTCGATGGATCTATAATTTCCTCACTAACAGAACATAGAGAGTAGTCGTCAACAGAGTAAAGTCCGAGGCAGCTACGGTGAAAAGCTCTGTTCCAGAAGGCACAGTACTCGCTCCCATCTTGTTCCTCATCCTCATATCAGACATAGACAAGGATGTCAGCCACAGCACCGTGTCTTCCTTTGCAGATGACACCCGAATCTGCATGACAGTGTCTTCCATTGCAGACACTGCAAGGCTCCAGGCGGACATCAACCAAATCTTTCAGTGGGCTGCAGAAAACAATATGAAGTTCAACGATGAGAAATTTCAATTACTCAGATATGGTAAACATGAGGAAATTAAATCTTCATCAGAGTACAAAACAAATTCTGGCCACAAAATAGAGCGAAACACCAACATCAAAGACCTGGGAGTGATCATGACGGAGGATCTCACCTTCAAGGACCATAACATTGTATCAATCGCATCTGATAGAAAAATGACAGGATGGATAATGAGAACCTTCAAAACTAGGGAGGCCAAGCCCATGATGACACTCTTCAGGTCACTTGTTCTATCTAGGCTGGAATATTGCTGCACACTAACAGCACCTTTCAAGGCAGGTGAAATTGCCGACCTAGAAAATGTACAGAGAACTTTCACGGCGCGCATAACGGAGATAAAACACCTCAATTACTGGGAGCGCTTGAGGTTCCTAAACCTGTATTCCCTGGAACGCAGGAGGGAGAGATACATGATTATATACACCTGGAAAATCCTAGAGGGACTAGTACCGAACTTGCACACGAAAATCACTCACTACGAAAACAAAAGACTTGGCAGACGATGCACCATCCCCCAATGAAAAGCAGGGGTGTCACTAGCACGTTAAGAGACCATACAATAAGTGTCAGGGGCCCGAGACTGTTCAACTGCCTCCCAGCACACATAAGGGGGATTACCAACAGACCTCTGGCAGTCTTCAAGCTGGCACTGGACAAGCACCTAAAGTCAGTTCCTGATCAGCCGGGCTGTGGGTCGTATGTTGGTTTGCGTGCAGCCAGCAGCAACAGCCTGGTTGATCAGGCTCTGATCCACCAGGCGGCCTGGTCACAGACCGGGCCGCGGGGGCGTTGACCCCCGGAACTCTCTCCAGGTAAACTCCAGGTATATGGGCGGTTTCTTGTACTTAATCGATAGAACAAATGGAATTCTAAAGAAACAGCTATGAGTTTAGTCAACTGGAACAATGGAATTGGCCGAAAATAGGGCTCAAAGTGGGCAAAGTCGCCGATGCGTAAACATTGCCAAGATTGCTAACTTCGCGAGGCCGTAATTCCATAAGTGTTCCATCAAATGTTGCACTTTTGGTGCCATTAACATTGGGAAAAGATTCTCTATTATTTCATAAGATTTTTTTTTTTTTTTTTCAAAAATTTTGCGACACAGACACTTTAGGATTTGGGGTTGCGACAGTCGAAGGGTTAATAGTGTGACATTATATTATTTACTAATAGAGTAAACCTTCAATTTAATGTACCAAGAAGCAGGGAGCTGGTGGCCAGTAATGGGGATTGCGGTAGATAAAGACTAACAGAATTCCGTTACTGATAAAACAATAACAGAATTCTGTGACCAATGGACTTACTCCATTGTGACCAAGCAGATTTTGTCCCGTATTTCAGAAGTCCATGAAATTAAGAGTTAACTGTATTTGCAGCAGAAATGTAGGCCTATAAAATTGAACTATTTTCACATAGAGACCATACAGAGCCTGGGGAAACAGAGGAATTAGGGTTAATCTGAGGATTTAGGGTGGTTTCAATTCCTTAGATCAAGAGCCCTTGATAGTAATGTAGCAATAGTAGTAGTAGTAGTAGTAGTAGTGGTTAATAATACAATACACACCCTTATCCCATGCAATTCTTCAACAGTGTCCTCACGATGCACCTTTGGATATTCCATTCCGTTGTTGCTCTGCATTGATCCTCTTGCACCCAAGAAACTGGTATAATTTTGCCGAACCTAGCAATTATTCATAAGGTAAGAATATTAGCTAACATGCTCCACAAGATTTAAGGTTTCTTTCATACAAATATTTAAGTATATTATACATTTAGCACAGCGGAATGTTTGCACATGAATTAATGTACAGTATTCGCAATTTCTCTTCTTCTGACAGTCTACACCACAAAAATTGTTTTCCATGTGTGTAAGTCACTCAATTGTAGCATGCAATGCATACTTTAGTTAAAATAAATTAAAATGCCACTGACACTAAATACTGATACAAAAATAGCTGCAAAATTTTATAAAAAATTAAAACCTCAATTAATTATTACAGGTGTTATTAAAATGAGTGCTAAGCTTGAAATTTTAAATTTCTACCAATAGAAAGCAAAACTGCAAAAAATAATGGATTTTCTCCTTTCACAGAATGTATTTTTATTTTTCTGAAAAGTGATGACAAAAACAAAGGTCAGTAAAGAAAAAGTATATTATTATTTAAACCCCTTTTCTAATATACTTTTCTCAACTTTTTTAATTTAAAAGTTACTGTATTTTTCATAAAAAAAAAAATTCTCCATATTTATAAATTAAATCCCTTACAAAACACATTTCCACTTAAAACTGAGAGGTGATAAATGTTATGTTGTGCAAAAGGAAAAGAACATAACCTATCCTATCAAAACCCACCTAACCTAACCTAGAATAAGATACTTACTCCTCCATTGGTAAATATGCATCTTTCTTCACATTCTGCTAGGCATGTAACATGACTCAACATTTGGAATTGATTGGGTAAGAAGTGTTGTACAATCAAATTAATTATTTTCACTTATATCTCCCAAACATAAGTTGCACCAGAACTAATTGGTTATTTTGTGGTAAATAAGTAAATTTATTTAGGTACACATACATATAAACACAGTTACACAAATTATCATACATAAGTAATATATGTGTAAATTACTTAGCATAACCCAAAAAAGTTAGACAGTGATTTATTTCCATTGGGGTCCTTGGGTATTTCTATAGGTTGCATATATCATAAAATGTAAACTAATGCCCAAATTCCACAGAGCAGTAGTTGTAAACCAGAACTGAAATAACCCTCACTGCTTGACTTGCTTCGATTATCATACATTAAAAACTCTCTGGGTTAATAATCTGATTAAAAATCTTCTTTCTCCCAAAGCAACTCTTGTAATAATGTTAATGATACCATTATTGTAATGATTTATGGGGAAGCACTAAATGCATAGGGGTCATACAATGGTTAGGGAATAGCAGGCAATAGGATTTAATCCAGGCAATAGAATTTAATCAGGACACATCCCCTCATTGAAGGAAAAACAGTAATAAATCCCAGCTCTTAAAAACTAATGCATATGGTCTCCAAGAGCAAAATCTTACATTTTTAAGTAAATTAACCATCAGATTAAGTCTCATGGTTGTGATGTCTTCTGGAATGGTGAACACTATGGTAGTTATACACTGGTGAACAATGGCAGTTACACTGGTGGGCACAAGTCTGATGGACAAGTCTGTGCTCAGAAACTCCGTTAATATTTGCCGACAACTACTCGGTGGAATTTGGTCATTCTTTTACACTTTTCAATACATACAACCTATGTACATTGTGAAGTAATCATTTCTTGTGCACACACTTAGGTATGTCTCGCACCTGGCCTAATATAAATAGACGGGCAGTGTTTGCAGGTTAAGCTACGTATTATTATTATTATAATCATGGTGGAGCCCTAAACCTGTAGGATTATACAGTATAGTGTATGTGGGGGGGGATGGAAGGTATTCAGGCTAAATTCAGGGAACTGGAGCACAGATCCAATTCCCAAGATCAAGAGCCCTGCACCAGCATCAAGGAACCTCACTCGAGGGGTTAAGCTACATAACCTAACCAAGTGTTACCTTTCATAAGCTAACCTTAACTGAACAATAACTAACATAACCTAACAATGCAACCTACCTTAAAAAACAATGTAAATGTAACCTAACTTAACAAACAATTAAACCTAACCTAAAAAAAATGTAATTTAACCAAATCTAACTTATTTTCATTAATATCTCCCAATGCACCATCCCCCCAATGAAAAGCAGGGGTGTCACTAGCACGTTAAGAGACCATACAATAAGTGTCAGGGGCCCGAGACTGTTCAACTGCCTCCCAGCACACATAAGGGGGATTACCAACAGACCCCTGGCAGTCTTCAAGCTGGCACTGGACAAGCACCTAAAGTCAGTTCCTGATCAGCCGGGCTGTGGCTCGTACGTTGGTTTGCGTGCAGCCAGCAGCAACAGCCTGGTTGATCAGGCTCTGATCCACCAGGAGGCCTGGTCACAGACCGGGCCGCGGGGGCGTTGACCCCCGGAACTCTCTCCAGGTAAACTCCAGGTATAAAAATTATGCAGGAAATACCTATTCCTTGATGTACAGAGGCTGTATGTACAGACCCCTCAAGGAAGGTTCCTTGATGTTGGTGAGGGGCTCTTGATTTAGGGAATTGGATCTGTGCTCCAGTTCCCCGAATTAAGCCTGAATGCCTTCCACATCCCCCCCCAGGCGCTGTATAATCCTCCGGGTTTAGCGCTTCCCCCTTGATTATAATAATAATAATAATGTATGTACAGAAAAGTGTAAAGAAATGTTTAAGTTTTGCCGAATAATTGTAACTGTGATGAAAACTCTCAGGTGTTGCTAGGTCAATGCACACTATAATAACTGTCTCAGACAAATATACATAATATCTGGCCTCAATATAAATAACGTGGAGGACGAGCACCAAAAATAGACATGAGCCATAAATCATCATCGAGTCAGTGTCTTTCTCACTAACATAACTTGGTAGACATACTGAGAGTGACAAGCTTGACTTACAAGTGGTAGGAAAAGCTTAAAGAAGCTTCAAAGTGGAAAAAAAAAGTTGGGAGTAGACAAGGAGTGATGAATGTGGCTGCTGTTGCTACTACTACTGTTGTTGTTGCTGCTGCTGTTGTTGCTACTGTTGTTGCTGTTGTTGTTGCTGTTGCTTCACTGCCAGCTCTTAGTATGTATTTTACTTTAATTAGGTACAGGTATATATAAATATAATCACACAAATTAGCATACACAGTAATATGTGTGTAAATTACCTAGGATAACCCAAATAGAAATAATCAAGGACCTTAATAGAAATAAGTCACTGATTTTTTTTTTTGGGGGGGGGAGGTTATTCTTGGTATTGTACATATATGCTGCTATGTATGATAATTTATGTAACTGTATTTATGTGTATCTACCTGAATAAACCTACTTCAAAAAAGTCAGAAATAAGTGACTTATTTGAACTGTTTATTATAATTAAATTTTTTTTATCTGTTTGTAGTTTTTATGGCTTCTTTATATACATATATATATATTTTTACAATGGGAAGATAGTCAAAAATGGTGCTAAAATATCTATAATATAACCTTGATTAAATGGTAGTTCTCTTATCATTTAATCATGATGACTAAGATCACGTCTCTGTTTTTTTGCAGTTATCATCATGACGATTTTAACTTAAATTCAAATTTCATTTCTTTATATAAATGTAGAAAGATAATGTGATTTACGTGTATTATAGCAATGGTGGGCATACAAGAAAGTCACTAATATGCAAATGTATTTCAGGCAAACTAATTAAGGATAAATTATGATTAATTACTGGTTAAAGATTACTTGGGAATTAGACATGGACTATTAAGTAGGATATTTATGGAGTTAGCTAAATTATATGTACAATAAGAAGGGTACAGTTGTTAAAAGTATGACTTATTATCTAAAACTGACTCACTGATTATATGCACAGTTGAGTTCCTTTGCTGTTTTAATTTTTAAAGTTATAACCATGACTGATTTCTATTATAATAATAATAATAATAATAATAATAATAATAATAATAATAATAATAATAATAATAATAATAAGAAGAAGAAGAAGAAGAAGAAAAAGAAGAAAAAGATTATTTTATTATTATTATTATTATTATTATTATTATTATTATTATTATTATTATTATTATTATTATTATTATTATTATTATTATTATTAGTTATTATTATTATTATTATTATTATTAAAAAGTAGAAAAAAATTAAAATACAATTTTCATTTCCCTGCAAGTTTACATTGAGATTCTGTAATTACAATAATGAGTTGCAGTACAAAGAGCCACTATCATACCATGGGCTACATGGACACCATGCCCAGCTCTTCTAGGGTAGGGTAGGTGCCTGAGCCAGAGCTTGTGGCTCACAAGACTGCCATTCCCATTAGGCCCCTTGGGGCGGGGATGGCAGACCAGAGAGGCCTAGCTTCTCACTACGAGCCCCATGGGGGCGGGGAATGTGGCTAGGCCTGGGGACAGTTGGTCCCAACGATGAAGAGGTACTTGTGCCTCCCATGGCAGATATAAGTCTGAGATACTCCCGAGAATGGGAGCCAAGGCCGGGCCACCACTTGGAAAAGGCGCGGGCCGGGAGAGTACCGGCGAATCAAGAAGATTATGGGCTAAATTTAATGGCTTACAGACTACTTAATACTAGAGAAATTGATCATAGTTTGTTAAGTTGTAGATCTAAATATTAGGCTTTAAATATTAAGACATTACAAGGACACCAGTGGAAGAAAGTATACAGGCCCAGTTGACATCAATGACATAGTACTATGCCATTCCTGGTTACACAGCCATACATAATTGTAGGCCAGATCAACAAGGGGGTGGCACAACTATATACTACTCAGACCAACTAGGATGTATCAATAATACATGCACAAGGGATGAACATGGGGAATATATAATAGCTAAATTCAAATCCAAATACCTACAAAAACCTCTCACAGTGATAAACATCTACAGAGTACTACAGTCAAACATTAGCCGTTTTAGTGACAACCTAGGAAGTATGATAACTGATGCACACATGAACAAAGATCACTTAATACTCTCAGGTGACTTCAGTATAAATCTCCTGCAAGACCAGGACCCACACGTTACTGAATTCACAAACACTATGAGTAACTGCATGTTGCTACCAGCAGTAACAAAACCTACAAGAGTTACGGAGACTAGTGTTTCCCTACTAGACCACATCTGGACCAACACCATATCCCCTTTAAAGTCAGGCATAATCACAGATAATACCACAGACCACTACCCTACCTTCCTCATAACTAATCTAGGCAAATTACCCCAAGACACTACTTGTGGAAAATTACATTTAGCTGAATGTATCATTATGTACATAACAGTAAATGAACAAAGATTATTATTTATCAGTTAGACAAGTAGGAATTTGGGACACCTAGGTCGCAAAAAATGCCCCCCTTCGATACCTACCACTGTCATATCCACAAGTTGGGTAGTTTCAAATTTAGGTTGGATAAGTACATGAGTGGGAGGGGTTGGATTTGAGTGGGACTTTCACATCAGAGCTTATTTCTTGGGTGGCATTGAAAATTGGGTTGGGCAAATGTTTTGTTAGTGGGATGAATTGTAAAGGACCTGCCTAGTATGGGCCAACAGGCCTGCTGCAGTGTTCCTCCTTTCTTATGTAAGTTGCTCTGGACCTATTAATTATAAATGAAATATACATACACCAGGAATTCTGGTAAATATATAAATTTGTGGACTGTATATTAAAAATTAATAAATGATTATATATATATTATATATATATATATATATATATATATTATATATATAATATATATATATATATATATATACACACACACACACACACACACACACACACATTTATACAACAGAAGGAGAATATATCTTAATCATAACACTCACCAATTTGACTGGAAATTAATGTGTATCATACTCAGAAAACCTCACTGTCTATCTATGAAAATAACACTGGCCAGAGTTAAACATAACAGACTTATCTGAGGTTCCTGGAGCTGTCTTGTCCAGTCGCCTGATATCTCAAGTTATGCAGGACTGCACATACAACAATTTCGCCTCCTATTTGAGAGGTGTCAACCCAATTTTAACCTCTAGAGCACGAAAAATTCTTCCCATTACACCAACGTTTCTAATCCCAATTCAAACAACAATGGGGACTGTCCTGCGCAGACGCAGGACCCATCCTGTGGGTGCACCATATACCCATCCTGTGGGAGCACCATATACCCATCCTGTGGGTGCACCATATACCCATCCTGTGGGAGCACCATATACCCATCCTGTGGGAGCACCATATACGCATCCTGTGGGAGCACCATATACCCATCCTGTGGGATCACCATATACCCATCCTATGGGCGCACCATATACCCATCCTGTGGGTGCACCATATACCCATCCTGTGGGAGCACCATGTACAAATCCTGTGGGTGCACCATATACCCATCCTGTGGGTGCACCATATACCCATCCTGTGGGAGCACCATATACCCATCCTGTGGGTGCACCATATACCCATCCTGTGGGAGCACCATATACCCATCCTGTGGGAGCACCATATACGCATCCTGTGGGAGCACCATATACCCATCCTGTGGGATCACCATATACCCATCCTATGGGCGCACCATATACCCATCCTGTGGGTGCACCATATACCCATCCTGTGGGAGCACCATGTACAAATCCTGTGGGTGCACCATATACCCATCCTGTGGGTGCACCATATACCATCCTGTGGGAGCACTATACCCATCCTGTGGGTGCACCATATACCATACTGTGGGTGCACCATATACCCATCCTGTGGGAGCACCATATACCCATCCTGTGGGAGCACCATATACCCATCCTGTGGGTGCACCATATACCCATCCTGTAGGTGCACCATATACCCATCCTGTGGGAGCACCATATACCCATCCTGTGGGAGCACCATATACCCATCCTGTGGGAGCACCATATACCCATCCTGTGGGTGCACCATATACCCATCCTGTGGGAGCACCATATACCCATCCTGTGGGTGCACCATATACCCATCCTGTGGGTGCACCATATACCCATCCTGTGGGAGCACCATATACCCATCCTGTGGGTGCACCATATACCCATCCTGTGGGTGCACCATATACCCATCCTGTGGGAGCACCATATACCCATCCTGTGGGAGCACCATATACCCATCCTGTGGGAGCACCATTTACCCATCCTGTGGGTGCACCATATACCCATACTGTGGGTGCACCATATTCCCATCCTGTGGGAGCACCATATACCCATCCTGTTGGTGCACCATATACCCATACTGTGGGTGCACCATATACCCATCCTGTGGGAGCACCATATACCCATCCTGTAGGAGCACCATATACCCATCCTGTGGGAGCACCATATACCCATCCTGTGGGAGCACCATATACCCATCCTGTGGGAGCACCATGTACCCATCCTGTGGGTGCACCATATACCCATCCTGTGGGAGCACCATATACCCATCCTGTGGGTGCACCATATACCCATCCTGTGGGTGCACCATATACGCATCCTGTGGGAGCACTATATACCCATCCTGTGGGAGCACCATATACTCATCCTGTGGGAGCACCATATACCCATCCTGTGGGTGCACCATATACCCATCCTGTGGGAGCACCATATACCCATCCTGTGGGAGCACCATATACCCATCCTGTGGGTGCACCATATACCCATCCTGTGGGTGCACCATATACGCATCCTGTGGGAGCACTATATACCCATCCTGTGGGAGCACCATATACTCATCCTGTGGGAGCACCATATACCCATCCTGTGGGTGCACCATATACCCATCCTGTGGGAGCACCATATACCCATCCTGTGGGAGCACCATATACCCATCCTGTGGGAGCACCATATACCCATCTGTGGGAGCACCATATACCCATCTGTGGGAGCACCATATACTCATTCCTGTGGGAGCAAACCCTATACCCATCCTGTGGGAGCACCATATACTCATCCTGTGGGAGCACCCATATACCTATCCTGTGGGAGCACCATGTACCCATATGTGGGTGCACCATGTACTCATACTGTGGGTGCACCATGTAC